GAGAAATTGAAGGAGCTCCAGGAAAAATGGCTCCGATCATAACGTCGCCCCATCCCTGCGACACTTGTCCGCGTGACTGATGCTGGGTATGATGGGCCGACATCGGGGCCGCAAGACGTTGAATCGATCTCGTCGCAATCCCAGCGCGCCGAGGAGAACGGGGAGGAGCTCGCCAAGAAGATCGGCGCCTGTGAAAAGGGATCGGCGGAAGGTCAAACTGCGGGAAGCAGTGGATCAGGAGCTGACCGACTGCTTAGAAAGAGGACAGGTCAGCCGTCAAAGAAAAAAGGAACGCACGACGCTGGCGACGGCCCGATGGAGCCAGCGCGCTGCATGGCCGCCCCGAAGCAGGACGGGCGACCACAGAGGCGCAACATAATGCCGCCGCAATACCGGCGGGAAACGGGATCGCGGGCGCCGCGGGCCGGCGCGAGCCCGCCTGCGGCGAAGTCTTTGGGGTAGCAATGATAGATGCTTGCCGGGCGGCTTGGCAATGGCTCGCGCGCGTGTGGGCGGTGCCTCGGGGGCCAGATGCGCAAGTTGCAGCGGCCAGTCCACCGCGAAGCAGGCGGGCAACCTGATCGGCCAGCACGAGATGGGCGCGCATCGCTCGCGAGCCCGATGCCGCCCAGCTCTTGGGCGAGAAGCCCGCCCCGACCCAGGTGCCCAGGCCGGAGCGTCGCGAGTCTGCAGCGGGGGGGCAACATGTCTCCAGAGATGGCGCGGGTGCGCGGGCACCTTCGGAAGCCCCGTCTATGGGCCTCGACGCAGGGCTCGAAGATATCGGCCCCGAGCGCGACCTGCCCGGGAAACCGGGGCGTTCGGCGCGCCGGGGCTGCGTGCCCGGCTTCGAGAGCGACCGACTTCGAGAGCGACCGATGGCGGGCACGGCTACCATGCATCAGCGTGGGCGCTAGCAGCTCGTCTCGCCCAACTGAACCTGCTGCGCCGCCGGCGCCGCGAGGGCGCGATGGACCAGGGGCCCGCCGCAAGAAGTCCAATGCGAGAGCGATCTGGAAGGAATAAGTGAAGTGCGATTTAGGCGGCCGGCGCATCTCTATGGAGTTGGCCAACCACGCAATGTTGCATCTTCGATGGATGCGAACTCATGGGATGAAAAGGAAGAAACCCACGCGCACCTTTATGCCATGCGGTTTTGAAACCAGCAGAGGGGAGGGGACTCCAGATTCTGATGAAAATCCTGAACTGGAAATATTAAGTTCTTTAAGCGAAAGCTATATGAACTAATGGCAATAAAGATGATAATCTTTTACTGCTTTGACTTGAGCCAGTACGTTACAGTACGGTACTGCTTCTAGCGCATGAGACAACATGCCTAACAGGTCCTAGACATAATAATCTCAACTCTGGTCCTATTTTCTTTAGGACATGTTGGATCTTATAAAAATTAAACCCAGTCGATTTTACTGGAGTTCGGTAGCGGCCCTAGGAAGGAGTGAGAAGGGAGAAGAGTAGGACAGCAGTCCTAAGTAAGCCATAACAGGCTTATCATATCCACCACGGCCACCAAATATAAATCCATTGAAATACATCAACTGAAATCAATCCATTGACATAAATCTGATGATAATCCATCTCGAAGTGGTAACCGATAAAGGTGAACATAAAATACTAGCTCCACAATTGAAGTCGAACAATGCTATACATGTGGAGCTGCTCATATAACATCTCACATATAACCAAACTCCAGATCATACTTCAGATTCTGATGAAAATCCTGAACTGAAATATCATAGTCTTGTCGTGTCGGACTTGGTACTGTCTAGTCCAAATCCTTGCCTGACTCGCAGTGTGCCTGCGATCGTCCAACAACCGGCGGTGATCAGCTCCAAGAGTGACTTGGAATCTGCTCCCACGAACTTTGTCAACATATCTGAAACCATCCACTTGGTACGTACATGATAAAGTCGTCGTAATCTCAGGGTTCGTCGCTCTTCTCGAAGCGACAGAATACCCAAACGCTGTGACTTGTCCTGTGGTGTTCCTCGAAGTCCGCAACATAACTCCCACAGGTCCATACAATCAATGAAAGCGTCCACTGGTAAACTCAACTGCCCTCGGTCGAGTCGTTCTTGAAGCTGTAGTGGCTTCTGAGGTCCGCATAGAATGTTAATCTCCGGTTCTGTGAGCCTCATGCCGATAATCTGTGCCATGGGAACTCCTCGTGCTGCTGCCAACGTTTCCGCATGGGACGTGCTGTGTGAAACTCTCTTAGACTTGGTCGAAGTGACCACTAGTGCATGTAACTTGCCACTGAGCCGATTGATCAGATTGTCCTGCAGATAATCTTGTCGATCACATAGAGGAAAATGTAGTCGGTCTTCTTGAAGACCTATCGTGACTCCTTCTGTGGCGAAATTGCTGTTCTTGTTGGCTGAAGAGGCGTCCGTAATACAAGAGATCCGTAGTGGTGCCTTGAGCTTCCTGTAGTAGATGCCAAACTTCTCGGGATTTTTCTTGAGTCTCTTGATCACTGCGTTGATCGCCAGGAGGTCCTTGATGGTCGGACTCTGTAGCTTGGTCTGTAGAGAAACAACGTTGAATAGTTCTTCCAGTCGTGTCTGGCATGCCCAGAGTGCTCCACAAGTAAGAGATCTGAACGTCTTGTGTTCTGCTGCCGTGCAGGGTGCATCTGGTACATCGACTCGCTCTTTTGGTATAACACATGGCGAAAGACATGATGTGAACTGATCTTGATGAATGCGTATACACGTCGGTACAATTCGTTCGAGCTGTAGGCCAGCATGTGTATATGGTATCGTCTGCCTCTTGAGCTTGCCGAATCTGGATTCCAACTTCTTGTGTATCCAATCGCGATAGAATCTGCTGCCGGTGATCTGTAAGTCGTCCACATGAACAGTCATGACTAAAACGATCACCTTGTTGCCCTTGTAATCGATGCCCCAGTAAAGATAGTTGTCGTCGAAAACCGATGATTTAGCTCCTGTCTTATCTTTGAGAAACTCCAACAAGGCCAACTGAAACATCAATGGTGCGTCTGTGAAACCATACATTGCTCTCAAGCATTTGAGGGCATATATGTGTCGATCCTTGTCAGCAACTTTCCAACTGGAAGATGCCTCCGGCATGCGTCGAAAGTGACTCCACACATTCTCCGGAGGAAGGATGTAGACTGTCCGGTCTTCGCGATATTCATAGCCGAGATTCCTTGCTTTCTCTCGTAGGTTGTCATATCCAAGTCCTTGTAGAAAAGCCGTTGAAATATCCAGGCTCTCGGTGTCGACGTCGCCGTCATTCTCGTCGTTCACATGTAGAATACCTTCACAACATCCTAAACTCAAAACCAAGCGCTGCGATAATCTTGTCGCTGTCGAGCTGTGCTTCTCGATAAAGTTCTTCTGTCGGTCGAAACAGCCTCGAGCGCATAGTCGTGATTTGACTTCGACGTGTTTGACCTTCCATTTCCTCACCCATGTGCAATCAACTATGTTCGCCTTATCGGGTAGGTGGTCTCGAAGTACAGGTTCGAAAATATCATGAGTAACAAAAGCCTTCAACTCCTTATGATCTCCTGCAATAACCAACTTCGCAAAACGTCTCATCTCGTCGTCTGTGAGGTTCGCCGTCGAATCATCAACTCGAAAAACCATTGACTCGTGCAAATCGTAATGGAAGTATAAGCACCGGTCCGAGTCGGAGTAAAGTGTCGGAGATACAAAATCAAAATCATCTGAAAGGTTGCTGATCATCTCGTCATAAATTGCTTCCAGACTTTGCTTTTGAGTTCCGTCGGGTAGTCGTTCGCATAGATTGACAATCTTGGGAATGTCAAGGTGATCAATCATCTCCTGGTATCAGACTCTGGTATCTCCATCTGGGTCGTCGCTGTATTCCAGAGTTCTGTCAGTAGAAGTCGAGGGTTGCTCTCCTGCTGGTACTTCATCTTTACGAATGGGAAGTATAGGTGGTTCCGTCGAATCCGCTGGAGCTGGCTGTGTCGAGGACGTACCCGGCGTAGCCGCTGGTAAGTCCGTTGACGATGAAGAAGCTCCTGGTTGATATCTCCCCGTAGAAGTCGTCGGTGGTCGTGGTGGTGACTCTGGCTGCCAAGGAGAGGGCCATGGATATGGCGATGATGATCTTCCTCGCTTCTGAGGTGGTGACTGTGTCGCGTCTGGAGGATCGACTGCTTTCTGCTTCTCCGCTGTGCTTGTCTTGGACTTGTCCAAGTCGAGAGGAATGTAAGGTAGCTTGTCAGGAGTAGCTGGAGTCTGCAGTGAGTCCTCTGATCCTTGTGTGTCTCGGTGCTGTGGCTGCAACGAAGGTGGACCCATAGGTGCCTCTCGAGAGATGCGTCGAGGTGCTGGTCCAGGTGCTGGAGGTAGGTCGTGATCATGTCCATGAGCTGGTATCTCCTCCATGTCGTCGTCGCTGTCGATGGTCTGGTCGCCTGGGACGTTGAGCTGCGGTGTGCCTGCCGTAGCTGGTGCCGTCGAGGGTTGACCATGCGATGGCTGATCTGGTGGTCGTCCAGGCTCTTGTGGAGGTATAGCATTTGACCGAAAAGGTGGAACTGGTGGTGCCCGAGCTGGCGGTGCTGGTGGATCCCGCGGTGGCTGCTGATCCGGAATAACAATGTCAGAGAGGTCGTCAGGCCAGTCAATCATGCTGATGTCACTCCAGTCCAGCTCTGGTGGATCGAAATGCTTGTCCAGATCCTCACAATGGTCATAGCTGTAGAGCATCATTGTGCTGTAGTTAGTAGATTGCTCGGCTGTATAGCGAAGAGCTATGTCTGGACGTCGTACACGAATACTGTAGTCAGCTCGGTCCTCTCGTCGCCAGCGTAGCAGTAAAGCCCATTGTGCATATTCAATCTGAGGAAGTCGACGTACTTGTGAGCCGTACAAGATACCATGCACAGGCTTAAACGTATCGCTGAATATCTTGATGCCCAGGGCCAAAGGCTTGCATGAATCGCAAGCTTCTTCACTGGGAACATATCGATACTGCTCTTG